CAAACTGTTGCAGAGGTATATTGAAGCAAATAAGTTCAAAGGGGCGTAACTCCTAGAAAAAAAATTGAATAGTAATTTCCTGTCGATATGCACATCTACGTAGTATGTCCTTATTATCTGAAAAGGTTTCATGAAATTCTGTTGTGTGGTTTGAGAGGAGTTGAGATGACAAAAGGTTGCAGTAGTATATTGGGCAAATAAGTTCAAAGGGGGGTAACTCCTGGAAAAAAAATTGAATCGTAATTTCCTGTCGATATGCACATCTACGTAGTATGTCCTTATTATCTACAAAGTTTCATGAAATTTTGTTGTGTGGTTTCAGAGGAGTTGAGATGACAAACTGTTGCAGTAGTACATTAAAGTAAATAAGTTCAAAGGGGCGTAACTCCTAGAAAAAAAATTGAATCATAATTTCCTACATAGTATGTCCTTATTATCTAAAAAGGTTTCATGAAACTCTGTTGTGTGGTTTGAGAGGAGTTGCGATGACAAGAAACAGGACTGACGGACAGATGGACAAGTCAAAGACATTATACCCTCGTCAACTCGTTGCGTGGGGTATAATAAGTCTTGTGTATAAGTTTCATAACATTTGGTTGAGGCAATCTAAAGTTAGAGAACAGAAACCAACTTTGGGACGTACGGACGGACGGATGTACAGACGGACAAGGGTAAAACTTACATGCCCCCTCCGCTATGGCGGGGACATAAAAAATTCACAGGTCAGAGGAGGTGCAACAACTTAGGTTTTCATTTCATCTTGTACAATTTCAGCATCTCTTCATCAAATCTAAATATGGAAAAACTGACTTTCACATCAAATATTAAGTGTATTTAAAAAGGGGCAATAGCTGTCAAATTCATGTTCACCGATTTGACTCAAATTCTCATATTTGATTTAAAAATAACATACTAAAACATATATCCAAATTACAAAAAGTCTAAAATAAACAATAAACATTGCATGAAACTCCATAATATATGTATCAGCATTTCATGTGTATTTTTGTCTAGATGTCATCTAATATAAAAAACCATCGAGATGTGACAGTCATTTAACCTGATAAAAACATAAATATAAATAGATAGCGATCACATGCAAATGGATTTTGCTAGGTTTGTTTGATTTCATATTGAAGTTAAAAAGTATGTTTATCATCGTTTTTTACCTGTATAAGAATGATTTTTGTGGATCCAATCAGTCAAATAGATGGTTCATCCTTGTTTCACTTTCAATGTTGACATTCTTTTCCTTTTAATAGCTGAACACATGCATAACCCTTATCCAGCTAAGGGGCTAAATTGAAGGTCACATGAATATGGATTCAATGAGGCCGAATTATTCTCTTGCAAGTGAATAATTCATCAGCAATGTTTCTTAGCTTAGTTTGACAAAATTAAACCAAACTGGCGGCTAAACCCGAATTATTATTTCACAATTTCACTTTCATTAATGACTGAATAAAAAAAATCATAACTTATTTTTTTTCATATCTCATAGCTAATTCCCCTTTAAGATTTCTCTTGGGCAAATATTATAATTATAGAAACTGTTAGATTATAGCAGCAACTTTCTGATCTCTGTGAAAATACAGAACACACGTTTTTGTCAATATAAAAAAAATCACCATTGAGAAACATTCATTGTAAAAGAATACTGTTCAAAAATTCTAAAATGTGAAAAAGACTACTTATTCAAGTCTCCATAAATGTCTGCATCAATAAGACTCCGAAAATGAACAATTTTCAATTAAGATTTTGTTGAAATTTTCAAATCCATAATTAAATACATTAACCTCAGGCACAAAACGCTCCTGTTTTGTTTATTTCAGTTATATTTGAAATAAAATTAAATAAACTGAATCCAAAATAGAACTTAACATAGCTTTTTAATTGTTTGCATTATGCATGTTGCACATTATTTGTGCATTTCAGTGGATATGTGCATATAGCCTGAGTTGTCTCTTGTGTTTTTTTAATTTTGTGTATTGAGAAAAATTGAAAAAGTCTGATGTTGTTTATTTTGTCTTTAATTAAATTGTCAAATGATTCTAAATTGAAAATCTATACATTAAAATCAAAAGATAAATATTCACTGAATATACATACCAATTTGGTATGAAATTAACCCAGGGGAATTACCATTTAAATAGGGATGAATAACTTACATGTGTATAAGTACATTCTATTTCTGGCAATAAAAACAATTAAGTTTATTTCTTATGTATATACATTTTGTACATACATTTATTCGTTCATTGTGTGTTAATTTACGTTTTTTGATTGAGTTAAGCCTTCCAATTGATATTTTATAGTGTGTTTTTCTATGTTGTGATGTTATACTATTGTTTCAGAAAAGGGAGAAGGTTTGGTACCATTAAAACGTTTAATCCCGCTGCCAATTTTTGCACCCGTCCTAAGTCAGGAATCTGATTACAGTAGTTGTCGTTTGTTGATGTGGTTCATAAGTGTTTCTCGTTTCTCGTTTTTTATATAGATTAGACCGTTGGTTTTCCCGTTTGAATGGTTTTACACTAGTAATTTTTTGGGGCCCTTTATAGCTTACTGTTCGGTGTGAGCCAAGGCTCCGTGTTGAAGACCGTACTGTGACCTATAATGGTTTACTTTTATAAAATTTGACTTGGATGGAGAGTTGTCTCATTGGCACTCATACCACATCTTCTTATATCTATGTACATGTAGATTGTATAATCATAACTACTGTATATTACTGCTTATGTTTACAATTTCTCACTGAACAATTTTCAAATGTCCAGGTGATCTTGACATTATATAGCTAAGAATTGCTTGTAATTAATGACATATCATAACTGCCAACCATCAATAATATAAGACAAATCAGCATGCCATGTGTAAAGTGTTGTCCCCCTCCATTTACAGGTTAAAGTATCCAAATTGCCAACATTGACAGAAAAATCTACCATATACATGTATGCGATGCTACTGTGTAATTTGCATGAATTCAATAATTTAATCATTTTTCAACAATTTACAGAAAAACATGCAAAATGTTGTATACATAATTTTCTTCAAGCATGAAATTGGCTGGTTCCAGCTCATTTCTGAATTTCCAGTACATGCATACGTAGTTTGGACATGTTGAAAATAAATTAGCTAAGTATCATCATAAACATGATAAAAGTAATTCAGAAAAAGCATGTCAGTTTGGGATGAAGAAATGGGTGATTTCCTCATCACTTACATCAGATGTTGGATGAATAGGTTTTTCCTGTTTTCCTAGATGGTTATCACAAAGTCAAATACTATCAAAATTTCCGTGGTAGTAAATTTCTGTAGTAACAAAATTTCTGTAGTAATAAAATTTCTGTAGTAGTAAAATTTCTTGTTTGTCAGTTACCACAAATGTCAGTAACAATGAGTAAAATTAGCCACAAAAAATGGAGTAATTGTGCCTGGGTGTATACAGTTTAAATCTACAATGTATCTGCTATAATTTTTGCCCAAAACACAAAAAAATAGTTAGAATTTAGAAACTAAGAATTATCATTCAACCTTATAACTGATAGAAGATCTAGAATGACTGACAATTTCCACTTTGTTCACCTTTTTGTGGATCTTAACACTCTTGCTAATCATTTCTATTGTTTACCATGTTAACAGTTTATCTCTATCTTCTATACAATGTACATGTAGTTTTGGTAAAAAGACTATATACTGTATATATATATATATACATGTATGCAAATCTATTTGTAGATCTTGTCTTGCTCATCATTTTGGTGTTTTAATTTCAGTTTTTAAGTCATCATATTGCAATGCACAATATTGATTGTGTGTTTCTCTAATGATTATTAGAGGATATGTACAATGTAGACAAACTTTATCTTTTTTTTCAATGCTCTAAATAAACATGTGTTCTTTATTTTTGATGTCATCAGACATGGTTGCCTTTTTTTAAAGACATCACAATAGGATTTTTTAGCATGTTTTAATTAGAGGACAGCAAGAATATTTGACATCACATGTAATTGAATTTTGACCAAAGGAGAACTTAGATCAAACAAACCACACGTTGCAGAGAGGAGAAATATCGTATTGCACAAGATTCGGTGGTGGAATCTGTTGCTCTAATGGTTGACTGCCATAGATACTTTTTATAAAATTCATTAACCTTTTTTCATTACAAGTCATATATATATATATATATATATACATTTTTGCATGATAACTTTTAACCCTTGCAAGTATTTTTCATATATGAACCTAATCAACTTTAAACATACATGTACATGTATATGAGCCAGAACGACAAGAGTATGTTAAAACTAATCATGCTAACTAAATCTTTTATCTGTTTGTGCTGAACTATTGAAATAATTAGAAACTTAAGTTAATTCTAAATTTTGAATGGAAAAAGGAATTCATGAATAATCTCCCTCCTTAGTGGAGATGGAGAGAGGGAGATTTCCCACTCTGTAGCTCCAAGAGGTTGGCACGTACTCTTTATCATTTTGTTCATGCTGTACTGTGCACAATGCTGGCCAGCAGTTTCTACCACTCCCAAAGTCTGGTTGGGTAATGCAGAGCAAACAAAATGACCAGACATGACATAATCAAATAAACTGTAAATATTGAAATGTCAAAGAGAGGCCAAAGATACCACAGGGACATTGAAACTCACAAGTAAAAAAAAACTGACAATGCCATAGCAAAAAAGGGAAAAGACCAAAAGACAAACAACAGTAGTGAGTACTTACACAAAACACAATATCAAAGTTTGCTGTTCATATTGGGCTGATGATCATGATGATTGGCAAATGAAGTACCTAGCTGTTTGTTTGTATATTTCAATATATATACTACATGTACATGTACTACTAGACAAAAAAATTATAAATAACACCTTTGATTATAATTGTTATATAATCAGTAAAAACTTATAAATATATATGGTGCTGAATCAGGATTTCGAAATAATGAACCCCATCATCAGCATCAGTTGCACTGAATGAACTTACATGATCCCTCTGGTTTTCCTCCTTGTGCTCGGATCCATACCAATTGCCTCGTTTCTATTCTCACTTGCAAAGTTCGTTTCTCTGGTCTTTTATTCTTTCCAAAGAATATTGTCACAACAAGTCCACGTTCCAAACTTCTGAATCTGGCCCAATCATCGTTTTCTATTTGATTCCCATTGTAAAGTGCTGCCATTTTTTTGGAACTTGTTGCTTTGTTTACTTCCCTTCATTAATATTAGTCTTTTTTCAAGTCACATGTCATAATGTCTCCTTGTCTACATGTTTTCTCGTGAAATATTTTATTTATTCATCTTATCATTCATTTTCAACACTTAAATATATATCAAGATATGCGAATTTAGGTTTTTGGATTACCTTCCGGGAACGTCTTTTTCAAGGGCGACAACTACGGGCACCTGTTGCACAAGGGAGATAACTCTAATGTATTTTTTTATATACTTTCACGCGTAAAACGAAAAGACTAATTACATCCAGAGACATATAATACAATGTATTATATGTCTCTGTTAAATCTAATGCGTTTATGTCGTAGAATATAATTGATTGTCGAGAGTCGATTGAGACATTTAAATATGGGATCATCATTTTCTTCTTTATTCTTCCCTCCACTATCTTGAGTACATCTCAAAAGTATGAATTTAATCATTGATGTACTCAGTCTATACACTAATATATACGGAAGCGTATTAGTGCCACACAACTTTTTTTTATATTTCTTCCTACGTTTGCGTTATAACGCAAACCATTGCGAAATAACGCAAACCTTTTGCGTTATAACTCCTTAAAATTAACTGGGATTCTCTAATTGATAATCAAAACATAAATACCGCGGCAGTAAATATTACGGAAAAAATTCTTGAAGCGGCAGAAAAATCAATCCCAAACAAACTGGTTCAGGTTAGGAAACATGATCAACCTTGGATGAATTCGAATATAAGAAAAATGATTCGAAAGCGTAAGAGATTACATAAAAAAGCAAAAATAACAAACAATGAAATTGATTGGACAAATTTTCGACGAATAAGAAATAAATGCATAAGCTACGTTCGATCAAGTAAAAAAAAATTCTTGGAAAAGCAAGTCAATAAAGTTGATAGTCTACACTCAATAAGCACAAAACAATGGTGGAAAACCATTAAAAATTTGATCGGACTACCAAAAAAATCAGTCTATCCAAGGATTTGTATAGTGTATATACAAATCCTTGGTCTATCCTACTTTAATTTTCAATAACCAATATATAGAAAGTGATTACGACAAAGCTAATTATTTTAACGATTATTTCTGCGCACAGTCTTCTGTTGATGAATCAAATACTGTATTACCAATATTAGAATATGATGAAATTAAAAAAACTAAAGGAACTGATTATAAGTGAGCAGGATGTTGAAGATGTGCTTGTAAATCTTGATATTTCAAAAGCTACAGGGCCTGATTTAATCAGTCCAAGACTCCTGAGGTCAGCAGCAACTGTCTTGAAGTATCCGTTTACAAAACTTTTTAATTTATCCCTTCTAACAGGGAGATTTCCAGATGTGTGGAAACTAGCAAATGTTATCCCTGTCTATAAGAACAAAGGTGGCCCAGAATTTTTGCTTAATTATAGACCAATATCTTTGCTGTCTAACATTGGTAAGACAATGGAGAGATGCATTTTTAAATACCTTTTTAACTTTATTATTACAAATTCTTTATTAACAAAATTCCAGTCTGGTTTTATCCCTGGTGATTCGACGGTTAAGCATCTGCTATGTGTAATTAACGATTTTGGTAAAGCATTAGATGCAGGGAAAGAGGTAAGGGTAATTTTCTGTGACATAAGTCGAGCTTTCGACCAAGTCTGGCATAAAGGCTTACTCTGTAAGCTTAAAAAAATCGGAATTAATGGAAAATTGCTACTTTGGTTTGAACGCTATTTAAACTCAAGAAGGCAACAAGTTGTCATTTGCGGAGAAACGTCCAACAACGAGCATGTCTCAGCTGGGGTACCCCAAGGGTCTATCTTGGGTCCTATTTTATTTCTTATTTATATAAATGACATAGTTAATGATATAGAATGTGATATTAAACTTTTTGCTGATTACACTTCAATTTATATAGTGGTTGATAACGAATATGAAGCGACAGAAAAGCAAAATAACGATATTGAGAAAATACATAATTGGTCTAAGCAATGGCTTGTCAATTTCAACCCAAACAAAACAGAAATAATGACCATTTCAAAAAATCACCATAAACCTCATCACCCACCAGTGTATATGAATAATAATATCATAAAAGAAGTTGAGTCGCACAAGCATTTAGGGGTTATTATAAATGAAGATGGAAGCTGGAATAATCATGTAAAAATGATTATTGATAAAGCTATTCCAAGATTAGCATTGTTCCGAAAGCTAAAGTTTAAACTTAAAAGGAAAAATTTAGAAACTATTTATTTATCTTTTATACGCCCAGTCTTAGAATATGGGGACATTTTCTGGGATAACATACCTGATTATTTAAAAACATCTCTGGAAAACTTACAAATAGAAGCAGCAAGAATTGTTACAGGTGGTACTAAGATAACATCGAGACAGTTGCTGTACGATGAAACCGGTTGGGAAACTCTCCAGTCTCGGCGTAATAAACATAAGTTATTAAAATTTCACCAAATGTTTCACGGAGATTGTCCTGATTATCTTTCTGTATTAGTTCCAAATCAGAGGCTAGATCTACACGACCACAGGACTAGGGGGTTATCAAATTTACAAACTATATTATGCAGAACAAGCTATTACCAAAAGTCATTTCTACCAGCCGTTATAAACCTTTGGAATGATATTCCAGACGACATTCGTTTAAATCAATCAAAATCGGTAAAAGACGTATCTCTCTCAAAATATTAATAAAATACCTTTATATTTTCACTTAGGCTGTAGAAGAGAACAGATATGTTTAGCAAGACTCAGACTCCAGAGTAGTGTTCTAAGGGACCATCTATTTAAAAAAAATCTTATCGAAAACGCACTGTGTTCCTGTGGTCGTGTAGAAACTACCTCTCATTACTTCCTCAAATGTCCAAAATATAATGAAATTCGAAGGGATACTATCGGGACGGTCTCTTGTTTTTATCTTAAGATTATCTTATATGGGGACAGTTTAAAGTCTGACGAGGACAATAAAATTATGCAAATATTTCATAAAGTTTCTGAATACATAGATAAAACAAAACGTTTTGAAAGTTGATCTTGTATATATATATATATATATATATATATATATATATATATATATAAGTCTGAAAATTACACCCAACAGTGTTAGAATTAGATTTTTCTGCTGACAAATTTTTGTCCGTCCCTCAGCGGGATTCGAACTCACACCTTTGATACACTACAGCACCAATCGCTTAGCCTCATGTCCAGCGCTCTAGACCACTCGACCACATCCGCTATAAAATATATATATAAACAAGTCTAAATTGAAAACAACGTTCAAACCTATGATTGCGTTGGATAAAAACCGCAATTTTTATACGTGTGCATGCAAAAACAAATTTCTTGTTAGAGGGGTCTAAATACAGCACAAACAACATTTTCCAAAAGACCAAAAAAGTGAAAAAGTATATTTTAACAAAACGCATTTGACTAACAGGTCGAACAACAAATGTTCTTAAACCCTGCTGACTGCCATTGGCGATTGCCAAATAAACGGATCACAAGGTGTAATAAATGGATCTTAATTAAAAATTTAATACCAAACAGAAAACAATAAACTTGCGGCAAAGATGGTATACCGCAAACAAAGGTGCAAAGATTTTTGTACACCATATCCGGATTTCGACAATTAATGTCTCTTCAGTGATGTTAGGAATCGAAACAGTATTTGGAAGGCCGTGTAATTTACCTCAATTTAGGATAGACTCTCGAATTTTGAGGAGTCAAATTAGGATGAACGGATCATATAAACCCGAAGGCAAATATAATACAAGCCCAAACGAAAAAATATAAACAAGTCTAAATTGAAAACAACGTTCAAACCTATGATTGCGTTGGATAAAAACCGCAATTTTTATACGTGTGCATGCAAAAACAAATTTCTTGTTAGAGGGGTCTAAATACAGCACAAACAACATTTTCCAAAAGACCAAAAAAGTGAAAAAGTATATTTTAACAAAACGCATTTGACTAACAGGTCGAACAACAAATGTTCTTAAACCCTGCTGACTGCCATTGGCGATTGCCAAATAAACGGATCACAAGGTGTAATAAATGGATCTTAATTAAAAATTTAATACCAAACAGAAAACAATAAACTTGCGGCAAAGATGGTATACCGCAAACAAAGGTGCAAAGATTTTTGTACACCATATCCGGATTTCGACAATTAATGTCTCTTCAGTGATGTTAGGAATCGAAACAGTATTTGGAAGGCCGTGTAATTTACCTCAATTTAGGATAGACTCTCGAATTTTGAGGAGTCAAATTAGGATGAACGGATCATATAAACCCGAAGGCAAATATAATACAAGCCCAAACGAAAAAATATAAACAAGTCTAAATTGAAAACAACGTTCAAACCTATGATTGCGTTGGATAAAAACCGCAATTTTTATACGTGTGCATGCAAAAACAAATTTCTTGTTAGAGGGGTCTAAATACAGCACAAACAACATTTTCCAAAAGACCAAAAAAGTGAAAAAGTATATTTTAACAAAACGCATTTGACTAACAGGTCGAACAACAAATGTTCTTAAACCCTGCTGACTGCCATTGGCGATTGCCAAATAAACGGATCACAAGGTGTAATAAATGGATCTTAATTAAAAATTTAATACCAAACAGAAAACAATAAACTTGCGGCAAAGATGGTATACCGCAAACAAAGGTGCAAAGATTTTTGTACACCATATCCGGATTTCGACAATTAATGTCTCTTCAGTGATGTTAGGAATCGAAACAGTATTTGGAAGGCCGTGTAATGGTCTTTTGGAAAATGTTGTTTGTGCTGTATATATATATATATATATATATATATATATAAACGATGTAAAATCGAGTGGATTGTCCGTCGTAAATGACTTTAATCGGACATGTGTGTTGGTTTCAGCGATTATCTATCAAGAAAGTAAAGTAGAGTTGACTGTTTCATTTTTTTTTTTTATTCACATTTTCTTTCTTTTAATTTATTTTATTTGTTAGTTGTATTTTTTTTTTGTGTGTGTATTTATTCAATTTATCATATGCTACTTAAACTGAATATACTGTTGGAACGTAATATTGTTTGTTAAATAATTTTTTTTTTGGGAGACGGATTTATATAAGTTTTTCCAAACTTGTTTCCGAATCCCATATTTGAACTTTATCTAACATTGTATTGTAATATTTTATTCATGTAATTTTTCATTAATAAA